CCAGCATCTTTATTGATCTTTTCTGACTCCTCACAGGAGCATACTGCAAATCCAGCTTCTGCATCATGCCAGCTCTGATACCACTTAATTGCCAGGGGTGTAATTAAAACGCTGCGTCACCAGCCGTGAGCAGCAGCAACATGTCCCTGTGCCTGCTAAAGGCAGCCAGGAGCTCCCCAGACAACCTGAAAAGACCCTAAAGGAGGGACAGAATATCTCACAGCACAGCACTTACTTGCCTTAAAGTGTTTTACACAGATAGAGCAGGTCATCAATCCCCAAACTCCATTCCTTTTTTAGCAAGATGGAGCAGGGAAGCACCAGAGGGTTTGTTGGTGTGCAGGAGCTCCTCCACCTCCCAGCCAGACTTGCATGCTCAGAAAAGGAACATGAGCTTCTAAAAGCTCTCAAAATGCCTGTTTCAAGTTTCCCTTGATGTCATGTTGGGAGCTTTTCGTCACTTCTTTTCCACCAGGATTGCTCGGGGACACAAAGGGCACAGCTGGGAAACCTCCCAAAGTGCTGCCACGCTTGACCCAGCCTGCCAAAAAAAGTCCTGGTACCTCACTGGGAGATGCACATGTGTATCCACCACGTCCTGAGGTGGCTGTGGGCATGTTCTACCTGCTCCTTGCCAGACCCACCACATAGGACAGCCTGATCTGGCAGCCCTTGGCCCCTTCCAGGCACAGAGGGCAGTTCTTCCCGACCTGACTACGCCAGGGATTGCTCAGAAGCTGCAAGGCTTTGTCCCAGTGCAGACACAGGACAACCAAATTCGCTCTTTGCGCCTTCTGGAAGAACAGATCAGTGTCTGGTGGCAGAGAAGGCAAGACTGATAAGCAGGTTTTTACCCCAAGTCGCCTGAATGAGCTGGAGCTGCAGCCAAACACATCTCAGACACAGCACCAGTAAAGCCTCCCTGGTTTATTCCCTGTGCACTCAGGGCTCTTGGAGCAAACACAGAGTGCAAATGTGGTCTCCTGAGAGCAGAACAACTGAGATCTGCAGGTCTCTTCCAGCCTTTTCATCACTGGGTAAAGCCATCAAATGGGAAGATAAAGCCAGGCTTTAAGGAGCACAGAGACCCAAGTCAGGCTGTAAATGAGGTGGTAGCTGGGTCTTCTCTAAAAGCCTGGAGTGTGAGCACCCTGCACGTGGCACAGGCTGCAGGAGCACAGACAGGGCAAAAAGAGTGCCCATCAGACACAGAGATCTCCACAACAGAGATCTCCACAGCTTCTCCTCCACTGCTGCTTTTATCCTCCCCTTTCAGAGGGCCAGAGCTGGAAACAAAGAACAAAGAGCAGAAAGAACAAGTTGCTGAGACAGGCCCAAATGAAAAGGTCTGAGCCACATCCGTAGTGTCAGCAAGAAAGCTGTGTGGAAAAAAACCCAACTACTTGACATATCGAGTGCTGAGGTGAGATAATGAGTCTGGGGAGAAAGCTAAAGGGAAAAAAGGAGAAATGAAAAGATGCCCTGATGAAATTATTTACAAACATCCTTCAACAGCAGCTCCTCAGGGAAGGGTTTAAATGCTCTGCCTGAAGGAAAGGGTAGGGGAGAGAAGGGAAGGGAAGGCATGGCAGGTAAAGGCCTCTGGCAGCACTTGAATCCCTCCCCAGCACGAACAGCTGACTGTTAGTGGAGACAGAGCATCCAAAAAAGACAAGTAATTCCTTATCCCAACAGCCCTTCCCTTCTCAATAAGCACATCTCGTGCACACCATGGACTTGTATCACGTGCTTTACTGCAAACACAGCCTCCTACGAACACCCAACCTGGGGCAGCTCCAGTGCTTTGGATTTTCCCGTTATTCCTACATGGAATAGGCACCACATTCAGTCCTGGAATAACGACATTTTCATCAACAAAGCTTGTGATCCCAGTTCTGCTGAAATCAGGCCCAGGGTGGGATTTCTGGGCTGTCCTGTGCAGGGTCCCTCCCAGCTCAGGACATTCTGTGGTTCTGAAACAGCACAACCCAATTTTGTTTTTTCCCCCAAGCCCGAGGGATTCCCAGATACTTCTGTACTAATTATTTACTTCCTATAAATTGCAGTTTTCAGAAGTTAGTTTTTTAGCTCAGACAACCACAGCAAAGCAAAGTGGGCTGTTGTGTGGGAGGGCTAAAGGTCAGGGCAATTATTTATGGGAGGGTTTCTGCCTTTGTTGCAGGGCTTGATGCGTCATTATTTTTGCAACTACTTTTCAAAGATATTATTTTTCTGAACACAAATCCCCTTTCCTTCCCTCAAACTCCACGATGCTTCTAACTGAAATTAAGTTAGTGCTTAACAAAAGCAAAACACTGTAATTTTTGAACTGTATCACTTCAAGTTGTTTTATTTTTATGCTCACAAGAGAAAGGAAACCTTTAGTTCCTCTGAGCCTTTTGTCATGACAAACCACAACGATAATTACTGGGAAGCTGATGTTGGTAAAACCCCCCAGCCCAACTGTCACTGGGAAGCCAGACAAACATTCCCAAATTAACAAGGAAATAATTGAGATCACTGGAGTCCCAGAGCACAATTCCTTGAACAAATACCCACCAGCCAGCCCCTGTCAGTACTTCCTCTCTCTGGTGGTGTGGCCAGCATGACTCATGCTCTGAGAACAAGGTGGGAGGTTACTGCATGTAATTATTATCCAAAGGCCACACTGACTATGAACAGTCTGTGCAGCAACCCATGAAGATGCTTTTAGTTAGAACAGGCTTTAATCACAGGATGATTTTAAGTACCTGTTGCCTAATCTCTTGAAGTTCTCTTGTTAATAGAAATGGGGACTCTAAGAACTCACTTTGCCCTTCCAAAGGCAGATTTTACAGAGTTCAGAGTAATTTTATCCTTTCCCCACTATTCTCATTTTGGAAACAATCTTTTAAGAAAACCAAGCCTTTTATCTAACCACAGTTTAGGTGATGATTCAACAACAAAAACAGCATTCTGTGCCTTTGCATGGAAAACACAATGCTCACACCACCCATGTGCCAGCCTGAACCCCCTGAACAAGCACTTCAGGCCACAGAGCTTCAGAGAAAGAAGAAACATCTTATTTATCCTCTCTGCCATTTCATCCTCTCCAAGCCCCTCGCATTGCACAGCTGCAGAAACGAGCAGATTGATGGCACATGTCACGTTGCTGAAGGGGTGATGTGCAAACCAGAGCCCCCAAAGCCAACACAGCAGCAGCTTTGCAGAGAAGGACAACAACAGGACCAACACAGGCTCAGTGATCCTGCTCTTCCTTACCTGGGATCCTGCACACCCGCAGGTGGGAGCTTGTAAATCAAGTAGCAGAACAAAAGAAGTAAATAGTTTGGCAATAATTACAGCTTTTACAGTAAATTACAGTGTTTACAGAGGGAGGGAAGGGAAGGAGCACAGATGTGCTGCCAGCAGTACAGGAGTGCAGGTATTCAGCATGACACAGGCTGGGGAGAGGCAGAGATATCAGCTGGTAACAAAGAACAAGCCACAAGTGCTTTCTATCAGTTGATAAGAAGCCTCCTGAGAAGCTCAAATTAAACAGAGGCTCCCCTGCTCTGCTCTGCTTCCTGTCTCCACAGGGCAGAGCCTGCCTGGGAAACGAAATCCTGAAATCAGCTCAGGTGAGGCACTGAAAGGGAGCGGGAAGAAGGCACCTGTGCAGGCACTCAAGGAACCAGCCAAACAGTGGCTGTCTCAGCACCAAGTGACTAATCAGGACAAGCTGCCACAAAGGAGCTCCAAACTCCACGTTCCCCCAAAGCACGCGCTGGCCCCAAGACAGAAACGTGATATTTCCGTGGACTTAAACAGACAGACTGTGTGCGAGTTCTGGGTTTTATTTTTGAGAGCTGTGTTTCAAAGCACTCTCTTTTAAAGCAGGGCTTCAAGCACGCAGCGATGGAGACAACGAAGACAAAGGGCGGCTCAATTCTGTCTCGACATAAAACTCTCAAAGTAAAAGGAGATTCCAAAGGAAAATGCCAGCAATGATTTATTTCTAAAGCTCACTGGGGATTCAGGTGGAATTCTAATGGAGTGTTCAGCACACACCATGTCCTTGTGCCTGCAAAAACACGCTCTTTCTGCAAGGTAAGGCTGTCAAAGTGTGGGTACCTGAGGGCTTGGGGGA